TGCTGAGATTTGGTCTATAAATGGTAAAACCACTCGAACCGTGTCATCTGTCTCTTTAGCTTGTGATAAAGGTCGCTGCTGGTCACAAACCTTTGAGTCAACGAAACTTTTGATGGTAGAGTTAACGAGGTGTTTGGGGTACTTTAAACGCGAGAATGCTGTCTTCAATCAGTCACCTTCGTCTGAGAAGTGTGACCAACAAGAAGATAAACGGTATGCTCGATCCAGCATAGTTCTCAGTAAACCCTGTTTGTACCGATTTTCAACATGACTCTGATAGTGTAAGAGTGGAGTTGAATTTGTGAGTTTTACGTACACCCTTGTCTCTATTTGATGCGATCGATTCAGTAACTGGATGCCCAGAAATGGGAGCATGCCATTGTATTCGGTTTCCATCGTGAATTTTACGGAGGATGTGCCTTGTTAAGCGTTTCCAGGAAGTTACATTCTGTTTCGAATGCAATGGTATGCTTCCATTTCTGGGCATCCAGTTACTGAATCGTTTACCGTTTTACGTCTTAAGAAATCTCTTTTAATAATTTATGACCCAATAATCAGCATTATAAACTACAGTTAAAAAGATCATACAATCACAAGTTTATCTAAGGGCATTCGAGAGTATTTTGAGAACAAGGAAACACGACTATTTCGAAGGATCGATCATTCTTTGGTGTGTAAATAGTCACTCCTCACCAAAAGTGAAAAGAATAATACGAAGTAATCGCAACAGAATCAGAAAGGAAACCGTGAGTGAAAAATGTGCAGCGGTAAACAGTTGCATCCTTATTCTCCAAACATGGCAAATTATAGTTTCATATTCTTTAGTGAATAATTTACATTAGTATCACCCAACTAGTGGACTAATGTAGATCCTGCATTTTAATTGGCTACGCTACTAGGGGGCTATTAGTAATAGTCCTCGAGTAGCGAAATTCGCCGGTGTTGAAAACTGACCAAAACAATGACGGCCGCCTCGTGTTTTGTGGATGTTTCAGATGAGTTTCTAGATAAATTCCTAGACAATTCCATTCCAAAAAAGACTAAAAAAGCAGCGAAGTATGGAATGAAGATATTGTTTTTAGTAGATGAAATTACGAACATTTAAGATGGTTTCGTTTTTTAAGTTACTATTAATTCAAATAAAATTAACCTTTTTCGACTAAAATAAGTGTTTTCAGTACATTGTCACATCTTTACTGTGGACCGGTTTGCAAGCCATACAACTGAAATTCAAAACAGTTATTGAAGGGATAGAGAAAGAAGAGTTAAATTGATTTTTTACGCTGCTGTTAGGCGAGAGCACGGCACTGAGTTCAAAGTTTCGTCTCTCAAAGCGATCAGGGCAGCCATCGACCGATACTTTAAAGACGGTCTCCCAACAACAAGCCACGGTCGATAGTGGGTGACGCAACCTTTCAAAAATCTAACAAAGTCGTCAACGCTGTCTGCAAACAAATGATGCAAGAGGGGAAAGTTAGGCGGACCCTTCATAAAAATCCTATTACGAGCGAACAACAGCAACAGCTTTACGACAACAGGGCAACTTGGCGAGTGGGATACCTTGGCTTGGATCCGTCTCAACTCCTTCCCACTGCATGGTTTTACATAACCTTTTATTGTGGTAAAAGGGAACGTGAAAATCAGAGAAAGCTCACCTCAGATATGTTTTTTTTTCTAAATACACCTCAAGGGCGACGTTACTATGCATTTCGCAGCCCGTTTTCGTCCAAGGTGGTTTGACAGATAACCCTGGCGAATCCGACGGTAAAATTTTTGTTGTTCCTAATTCAAGCGCTACCGGGTAAAAACTCTTCAAAGCTTCCTAAAACACCTGAATCTCAACCTGCAGGCTTTGTTTCAATGACCAAGAGAAACGTTAACAAAAAGATGAAGTGAGGTACTGCAATTCCCCCGTCGGCAAAAGCACACTCGAAAACATATCAAAATCTGCCGGGATATCTCCTCTTGTTATATTCCTAGACTTTCACTCAACTAAACAGGGACTGTGATTGGTTGATTCTTGGTCACTTGGCCTTGGCTAAAATCAAATTTATCCCGATCGTGGTTCATCAAGCAATGTCCCCCGCACGGGATACATTCCAGCACCTTATCAAGGCGTGGTGGAAAGTGGCGTGACAGAAGGCGGGAAAAACACTGCCAGTTTTCTTCTTTTAGGTGAATGAACACAACAACAAATAAATGAAGCCTCAAGCTAAAAAGCAACGATTTTTAAAGTTATCCCAAAAGAGAAACAGCAGCTAGTGGAGGAAAAAGATTCAGAACTCTCGGGAAAACAAAACCGACCGTTTCCCTCGAGATCTGACATTAAGTGTATACTGTAATATCATCCAACTAACCACTGCGTCCGAGCTACATCCGTTACAGCGCTCCCAGTTCACAACATTGAAGCTACGTATATTGACACTGTCACTAGATACAAATCAGACAACTCCTTTGAATCTTACCGTTCCAGGGCTTCCTTTCAGCAGAGAGAGAACATGTGCAACATATTGAGCAGCTTTATATCTAGTGACTCTGCAGAACCACAGGCTCTTGTATTCGAGGGTCCTTCAACATCGAAAGAGCTTAATGGAGTAAACACTCTTTCTGTGGCTCCACGGGAACAACAGTCAACAGTGAAAATGCAAATGCCACAGTCTTTCAGCTTTCATGGCTGCTCTTTTTCCATTGTAAACAACAACTACATGCGATGAACTAAACTGAACTCGACAAACTGTTGAAAACTTGGTCCAATTATCAACCGCCCACTTGATCTAGTTCACTTTTGCTTTCCTTGCAGTTCATCAAAGTATTGTTGTTTGTTTTTAAGTACAGTTTTGGTTGGATTTCCACCGACTTTACATCTGAATGAATGAATGAATGAATGAATGAATGAATTTTCACAAGCTTCGCTTTTGTATTACGTGTTTCAGAAACGTGACAGTTATGTAAATTTATGCAAGTTTTGCGCAATCGAACGTGGCGCATTTCTTTCCCAACTAATTTTTTTGTTAACAAGTATTTCTCACCTTGATAATTGCTTTTTGTCCGACTAGTTCGGGTGATACCAAAACAATTAGACCCTTCGCCCTCAAGCGCCACAGGTCAATAGCCCAGAGGCTACGGGAGTAATTGTTAAATATTCTTCACATCATACGATAACTGTTTTTATTATCCTTTCAGAATATTTCACCGTTTCCTATTGGCTTAAAGCCTCGGGCTACTTCTTTATAGCCGACTGACCCTGACCAAATTTGGAAGCTGCGAGCAATATACCATCGATTTGGTGGTGTATTTGATTGGAAACGAGGTTGATCGATGGAATGATTAATTGGAAACGAGGCTTCCTGGGCAATAGACCACCGATCAACCTCGTTTCCTTCTGGCTGCATACTCACGAGTAAACTAAAAAATGGCGTTCATGGCCATCCGAAGACGAAATAGCTGAATATTGTACGATGGATGCTATCTACTTTTTGAGGAGTATCTGCATGAAAAAGCATCTGTTTATGTCCTGAATTCGTGCCGATGAAGTTTAGAAGAAATTCTACAAGAAGGTTAGCTTGTTAAAAACTTGGAATATTTTGAATGAATAATAAAAAAAATTATTGAATTCGCATTCGTATGATTTGAAGAATTATGCAGATCTCGGAGGATGTTATCCACACGGCCTTCAGCCTCGGCGGATAACATCCACCTCGAACTGCATAATTCTTCACATCCGATCCTACTCAGTCTAAGAGCTGGTAAGCACTGTTTGGTTATGAAGAATTAGCTGGAGGCTTTATGGCAATCAGAAACAGCTGAATATTTTGAATGAAGAATAATGATTCATATACCGTGCTTTTCAAATATGGTCAGTCTACGTGTCAGTTTAAAATTAGGAGAGCATTGAAAATTTTTCTTTGCGGAGGAAGGAGTGGAGCCCGAAGAAAAAGGTTTTCATGATTAAAACGCTAGAAAATGCCATTTTTTCAGCTGACACGAAGAAAGATACAAAGTATAAAGAGTATGGAATGAACGCTCTTTGACAACTCATCGAAGAAGCACATAAAAAATGTTGAAAAATACCTTTGACCAGCTACGAAAGAAGACGAACGTAGGTTCTTCCTGATCGCAAAACCACTCGCCAAAATGTTCATCCGACAAAATAAAATTGAGCCACCAGCAAGTAGCGGGAAATACAGGATTAAGACCCATTCCATTCAATCCAGTAAATATAGCTTCTCTTCTCGTTCGGGAAAACCTATTGGCTTCTTCTGACAACTTTACAAACAAAGTTTTTTGAAAGGCGACCGAGGGAATTTTAGTTTGTAACTGCACTAAGGACACTGTAAAGATCCAAATTTACAGTTACTTCGACGGCTTCACCCAAAAATTCGTTTTGTTCACATTGCCTGCGATTTTTAACTGTCCAGCAGAGTAAAATCCTAGAATCCTGATGAGTTTTGAAAGTGTTCAACGGTACAAAGTTTTGTTGTGTTCATTTATTCACTCCGTTCGCGTTGACAGTTTGTGTGACAGTTTTGATGGAGGCGGCTTGTGACAAGTAAGAGGCGGAAGTCCCTTGTTTGTTTCTGGATAAAGTTGTAAAGTTGGGAAGGTTCATCGTTAGTTTCTGGTTGTTAATGATAAAACAATCATTCCACTCACGCTTGTTGGATATGAGATGCTTGCATCGCCTATGTACCATTTCACATCCAACGCTCGCTCCTGGAACAATTGTTTAAAAATAGTCTGAGTCCGATTGCTTAAAAAACCAAGATCACTGAGTGAGTATATCCTAAATTTCAATTTCGTCAATGTCAGCTGTTCTTAAACACGGTTGTAAATTTTCCCACAGTCGTGGCATTTAACTCTCAATTCTCAGGGCCACTTGTATACCTAAACTCGAGTCAAGTATATCCACGTGGGGGTGCTTAAAAGTGCGCTCTAATGTTTAAATTTACTGGCGATTAATCCACACATGTCTGTGTTAATTACTGTTTGGATCAATTTAGATGAGTCACCCCAGTCCATCTCCAGCTTTCGAGCAGAACACAATGAGTGTTTCTTCAGAGCTAAGACCCCAGCTCACTTCCCTTAAAGAAGAGGGTCCAGAAGAGGAACTCAATAGCTTGAGCAACCTTGCGGAAGACGCAATCAGTTTTCTAATACCAACTGATAATAGTAACAGTGACCATATTGGCCTGGAATGCCCTACCAATTGTCCGTGTGTTTGCCACCCCCCATCTCCACTTCCTGCTGTAAATGAGTATCGGCCTTCTGTGATCATGGTTCCAGTGGCCAGAGAGCACGGGAAACAACCATCTGTGACTCATTTCCCGATTGCCATGCAGGTAACTAATTAAAAATGAACTAGGGTTGTATTACAACATGGGCCGAAGTAAGCGAATCCGGATTCTCGAATCCGGGAAATTTTTGTTGGTGGAATCCAGAATCCCGGGCTTTAGAATCCGGAATCCTAGTTCCTCTGATAAAGAATCCGGAATCCATGGTGTGGAATCCAGAATCCAATACTGTCTTGGACCTCTTACATAAGGCGAACAACTTCTCAATACGATCATAATTTTTTGCCACCCCAGTGCAATACCATTTGGGTATTCAGGTAGCCGTAGCCGTAAAGATTTGACTGTAGTAAAATCTGTACGTATTTTCCTCTTCTTCCAGAGTGAAGGAAATCTTGCACAGCCCTCCAAAAAGACTCCTCGTCGGAAACCTGTAAACAAAGTGGTAAGCAAAAAAGAGACTTCTTGTTTTTCAGTTTTAATCAGAAATGACAGGCAACTGTGATAATGGTATTAAACGGTGCTTTATCTAAGGGGTTTGGGGGGAGTCCTGAGGGTACGTGAAGAAAACGAGAAAGACAATAAGCATTTGGTTCTCGTTTTTTAGGGGGAGTCCTAAGGGTACGTGAAAATGAGAAAGGCAGTAAGCATTAGGTTCATGTAAATTGCTTAACGAAGCCCAGAACGTAGTTGGCTCAGTTGAAAAAAGCACCCGTCTGCTGAGTGGGAGGCCCAAGTTCACGTCTTGGCGAGGGTCTGGTAATAGCATGCTCGCTGTGTTTAAGGCCCCGATGTTGGGTCACCCTCCTAGCCAAGCCAACGTCTCTGCGGCACATAAACATTTAATCTGGCTCGCCCACCGGGGAAAATTGCGTCAACGCCAGAAAATTAAAGCATGCGTGAATGCTGTTCTCAAGTCTTGGCTAAGGCTAATCGGCCAATTTTTTCTCATAACAGTGCTTGCTAAGGTTGACATGGCTGAGAGGGTGCCCCTCTTTCCCGGAACTACGGTGCCTAGGATCTTTTCTCAGTTCAGGAGCTAAGTTCGCGTCATGGGGTTGATAGGGAGCTTTAGCAACGACGACGGTGACGACAACGAGAACAGCAAAAAAGCAATAGTAGATGAGCAAAACAACAACTCCGCACGCACTCGCATCACACTTTTTTGTACATTTCTTTGCCGTTACTGCACGACTACGCCGTGATACTCCTTAATTTCACGTATTGTGGAGGACGTGAACACAAAACGACTTCCTTTTTCTTTTCCTGATTCTCGATAAAGTATTTTAGAATTCAACTCTAAAAAACTGCCAACATTTGACGAACTGAACCAGCTGGAATAAGCGCGATAGCGTTTGAGGCAGCGCGGGTTCACTTTTAGGTTTTTGTAGCCGTCACCGTCGTTGCTTAAGCTCCCTAATGTTAAGCCGTTGGCGTTGTCTTCTTCATCCTTCCTTCATCAGTTAACTCAAAGGGACGTAAAAAACCCCACCCTAGTTTTCGAAGAGAGAAGAGGAAATCTTACCAGTGCTGCTGTCTATCTCTTCCTCTGCTGCCTCTTAACATTTCTCACAAATGTCATACATTACCGTACTTATTCGGTTTAGCACATCCGTACTTATTCGGTTTTTCTTAATCAGCGTTTATTTATAAATCGTTTTTCTTATGTCACTGACAGCAATTACGATAAATACTTTGTAAATATTGTGTAAAATATATAGATGTTTAAGGTCTCGCTTTTTTTGCTTAGGTAAGAACGTTATTGTCTTGATTGAGTAGATTTCCAAGCTGTACTTTTTTCTTTTTCTTTTTTTATTCTAGTGCAGTGTTTGGGCAATGGGGCATTTGGGCGTACGGAACTCACTGCCATGATTTGCTTGCGTGACCACCAAACAATTCACCATTTACACATAATGCACCTTGTTTACCCCCAAAAATTTTGCATAGCCATTGTTTTTGATTTCTCTTGGGACGAATGCAATAATGGCGCTTCCGCGCACCCGAAGCGCGCGCGGCTGAGCCCTATTTCTAAGACAAATATACCTTCTTACCGATAAGGCGGCTATATGGAATTAATTTGATTTAAGGAGTATTATGGGATGCCCAGGGGACATGAGCAAGATCCGTTGTACTCGCTTAGTATTAGAAATAAAAAAAAGAATTATGCAATGAGCTCATGCCCCCTGGGCATCCCATAATACTCCTTAAATCGAACTTATTCAATATGGCCCCGTATCTGAAAAAGGTCTATTGGAAACCTATGGATGGGAGAAAATTTGTTCATGACGTAGAGTACGCCTGAACGACCGTCCGTACACCCACTACATGTAAGCCAATGTCAAATGTCACATTAACAGCTGTCAAAATCAGACATCCGCTGACAACTATCACATGACTATCTCGCGGGCTCAGATGAAAGGCTAGTCGTTTTGCCCCTACATATAAGCTGATGTAATATGTAACACTTACGAACATAAAAATGAAACTACGCTTTCACAGGGTAGGGCTGTCAGTCGGCTACCAGTAGTTTAAAGTTATATGAGCAAGCCAAATTCGGATTAATTGACGGCTGTCAAAATGGGACATGTGCAGAACACAATCAGAAAACTAATAACGTAGGCCCAGGTACACCATCTGACATTTCGCCACTACAAGCCGCACTGAAATGGGCTTCCCTTAGTCGCAGTCGACAGTCCCTTTATTCGAATATTTGCCATTCTAGTAAAGGTCAATTGACAGCTAACGAACTAGAGCATCCACTGGCGTCATCATCTGACCGTATTGCGAGCTCATTTTTCTACGCATTGAGGTCACGTGTTTTTTTAAGTTTCCCCCTGATATTTTATTTGATCACGTGCTCAATTTTGTATTTTTAGTGGATCCTCATAGCTTAGAAAATCTATCCATCCTAGAAAATTTGGCAATCACGTGACCGTACACCGACCGCCTGACCTTCCGCACCACAGGCATACCAATGTTTAATCTCACACTTTCTCGCTAGTTTGGGAGCCTGCAGCCTGATATTGTACATCCATGTGGCAATCCCTGTTGTGATCAACTGACAACTGCTAAAACAGTGAATCCGCTGACCAGTATCGCCTGACCGTATAGCGGGCTCAGGTATCGACCCACTGAGTTCCAGTGTTTTTGGAAATTAACCGCTGAAAATGTGCTACTTTTCGAATGATCGCAGGCTCAAGTTCTAGTTTTTGGAAATGTATATGATTAAAGTTGTGTTCATGAGCCGCACTATTAAAGTTTTGATTTCAAACTGACCTCGGACGCGAAAATTCAGCCAGTTATTGCAGGCAGGGAAGACAGTTGCTTTTGCTTTTTCTCTGGTCACGCTTTAGTCATGCTCTTCGTCCACCTTTTATGCTCTGATTGGTCAAAATTTGACAGGTGAGTTCATGTGGAAACTTTATGAAGCATCTGGAAACTTGTTTTCTGAGAGCTGAAGCTGACATATTTTTGTGTCGCTATCTTGTCATGTTTTTAAATGTCCTTTTCCACTAGATGTACAAAATGAAATACAGCTGACAGCTGCTATCAAGATTCTTCTGTAATTTATGGCTGGTTTGTTTATTGGGTTTATGGTTGAGAAATGCGCCGCCTCGGAAATCCAATTTCGGATCGCATCGTTTTCGTTTTTCACGTTGCTTGATGCGTAAGAGGGTTTTGAAGGCTTAAGCGATTCTGGCCTTACCTGATGGCCTTCAGGAGCTGCATCTCGACCGGTAAGCCTGAGAAATTATTGTATTTGATGTTTCTTTTTTTTCAGGTTTCGAGTGTAGTTTATGCCGCTAGCTAGTTTATGCACGAGACCATGATCTGACCTACAATGATATCACGTTTGAAATAAGCCTACAGAACTTTAAAAGGCCTTTAGACATTTTCTGACCGCAAATGCAAAGAAAACGTTTCGTAGAATATTTATTTATGATGTTGGCTGTAAAAAGAAAGTTCTGAGCGATTTTCTTGCCTCGAGTTCATCTGGAAAAATAGCAAACGCCGGGAAGCCGGCTTAAAACATAATCTGCAAGGTTTAAGTTTATAAGCTTATGCGTACCTGACTCATGATCTTCAGAGACACTTTACTCTAAATACGTATACTTGTCTTCGTGAACGAAAATTGTTGCCTCTGTACATGTGTCACCTAATTATGTATATTTTATTGGTTGTTAGTAGTCTCTCTTGCAATTTTGATCGCTGCGCCGCTTGTTTTCTTTCCTACATAAACATCGCGTGCAGGAGTACTCCCTGAGTACTCAAAATGCCGCGCGTAAATATCAAACGCCTTTAAAGATTACACATAACAAAGCCATAAATAAAGGGAAATAAAACCTAAAAATAATAAATTCTCTATCATGCTGAAACTTTACTCTATTAATATTTATTCAAAAACTAACAGCCGGCACTGGAAGTTTGGTGCTTGTCAAAAGTGAGAACACGTCCTGCTGGCCGTATATAGGTGATTTTGGGAATTTTTTGGATCGTTTTCGCTAAAAGCTCATACTTATTACCCTGCATATCACATAAGAGCATAATTTCCTGATTGAGCAGTCCCTGCGTTATGGAGTTCTCTTCGTGAAAACGTTTTATAATGTGGTCTGTTCTATACCGTAATTTGTTGTGCAAAGGAAGGGCGTGCTTCGATCGTCCTGGACTGATTGAATGAGTGCAATTTGTCTTGCAAAATTGTGAAAAACTGGAGAATTAACAGCCTCGTACCCAGGCTTGTTCGCGCTATCCGAGTGACCAGAGGAGGCTTGGAACCGAGCGCGATAGCGAATTTTCCCGACAAGCTTGACAGGTGACGTCACATCCGAAATCGCCGAGGACGACTGGCAACGAGGCTGGAGAATTATAGGTTTAAATAGGGCAAAAACGAAATTCTGTCCTAGGTCTGTATGATAAAAAAATCAGCGCCCCCTAGAACTGTTTACCTCAAACGTGATGTATAAAAAGTTTATTTAAAAGGCTGGTTTACACGCCACCAGATTTGTCGCCAAGATTTACTTGTAAAGTAAACTTGTCGAACACAAAAAATCCGGCCTGATTTCTTATCTTGGCCTCTCTTTTAGACAGAGGAATGCAACGTGTAAATTTCTTGGCTGCCACCGAGGACCAACCTGTGTTGCATAAAATTATATTTCGGGGCTGTCCAATCATCCATAGTCTCTCCAACGGAGTGGTTGGAGGGACTATGAATTAACCTTATAAATTAAAGGTGATGTAGGTGGGCGACTGACTGGATTATTTTGTTTGGGAAGAATTTGTTTTCCAGGCCTTATCTACTGTGATCGAAGATGATTGCTATTATTGGGTATACACATAAGACTATTAACTCGATGAAAAACTGAATAGATTTGTTTGACTTCTGGACAGTCAAGTTATTTTTCTCTAAAATCACTAAACCTTTCCCACAAAAGTCACATGAATGTGCCCTATAGTTAACTGATTTGTGGATTACAAGTTTAATGTTTGATTTAAATTATAAATTTATTAACGTGTTCTTCGCTTTTAGCCCTGGCTAAATCTATATATTACCCAGGAGAAATTAGAAACAATAGTTATGCAAAATGTTGGGGGGTAAACAAGCTACAACCAGTTGCAAAAATGTTGAGGCACTCCCATTGCATTGTGGTCCATCTGAAAATGGTGAATGGCTTCCTAGTGGGCAATTCCCAATCCCCAAAGCACCCTTCATTGAATCAGTTGTATACATGTAAAATGTAAAGGGGATACGCTCTGTTCCTTTCTCATCTGCGACCTTACCTCACATTGCATTATAAGCACAAAACCGTTTCTTTGATTTTTTCGAAAGTCTGCTGAAAAACGGAAGAGGACTGCAGGTACCGCCATTCCGCGTGGACGGGTAAGTCCAATGCACTTCAGGATTTGTACGCAACAATGTGTGCGATAATATGTTTAAACTTTAATAATGTCGACATCCAGATCTTGCTGCTCTTGCTCAATGCTTCCTATCTCGTTATAAATCTCTCACTATTCAATAAAAGTTGAAGGATAGTTGTTTACTATTATTAGTGCACTCACATGAAAACTGTTTAAAACCGTTTTTTATTAGGGATGGGAAAAACAAGCAATAAAAAATATCAGATAAAAACTTAGAACTTAGGGCCGTTGTAGTCTTGGAAAAAAGAATCGTTGTTATAATCAAGATTTGCGGTCATATTGGAGAATGAAACTTTATCTTCGAATTTCTTTCATGTTGTGCTCTCAATTCTATTCGAAATTCGAATTTAGCCTGCAATACCAGTGGATACGGGCGTATTTTTTGGGCAGACGAAATCTGCTTGTTTAATGTCCTTAAAACAGTATTACAGGTTTTCTTTTACCAGTTTCGATATGAGTGTTTGAGCCGTAGAAATTAGCAATTACATTTTTGCTGTCACCTTTGACACAATATAAAAGTGTGGTGCAGCCACCACACCTTTGAGTTTATCTTTGACGCGCGTCAAAGGTGAAGTCAAAGTTGTTACGTATTTGACTTCGCATTTACCAAGGTCAAAGGAGTAAGCAAATAGGTTATATATTTGGCTGCATCTTTGACGCGCGTCAAAAATGAAGTCATAGCCGATACCAAACTTTTAAATCCAATTTTTCGTCTGGTTGCTGGTCTCGCCGTCGCCGCCATCTTTGATTTTTGGAAATTGGGGAGAGCAGAAATAACATGCCGGTTTACTCCAACTAGAAACAATCGGGAACACAAAGAAGAATTCTTGTGACACCGAACCATGTATTAATTACGAACGCCAATCACTAAAACACAGCAATTACTATTGTCGTGTCTTTTCCCGCCGCTTAAAATATGATAAAACATTTTCTTTGTCTCGGTTGCACGTGACTTCAGATTGTATGGTTCGGTCGGTCATAAAAGTTTGTTTCCTAGTTTGTTAGTTGTTGTTCCTAGTTCCTAGTATCTTCGATATATTTGCTAGTAAGACAGTGGAAAAAAGGAGCGAAATAATTAAATGACGGAAAGAACTGGAAATTTGTACCCAGCGATAATCTCATGTGTATCTTCCCGCTTCTCATCGATGTGCATAAAGTATTTCTTTAAAATTTTGTGAGAAAACGTTGTTGAATCAAGTGTTACTTGCAGAGATATATGCTGTTTGGAGGTTCATTTGTATTTATATCATTTGTATACTTGTTGTTTTACAAACCCGAGATGGCAGAAAGCCAGCGAGCAAAGCGTGGCATTAACATTGTTGAAAGCAGAAGGGAGTTAAATACAGTTGCTGATAATTCTTGTAAAGAAATGCTGCATTAAAAAAATAAAAAACTGGTCATCTTGGCGTATTAACAAAGATGATGAGTATTTGACAGATTACAAATTCTCCATAAGTTGGCGAAGACTCGCGTCCCTTGGATAATCAGTGGAAACGATATTTGCGTGTCAACTATGATTTGATCCAGTCATTGCACGTGAGTGCTGAAAGAACATATGAGGAGCATCAGTATGCTGAATCCAACAGAAACGACAACTTATATCTTGACTTAATAAACCAGTACATAGCTTCTGAAGAAGGGATTGCAGATGTTTCCAAGACATAAGATAATATGGTGGATGATGACATAACGCAACTTACCATTATCTGAGCGTGAGGATGATGTTCGAAATATTTGTTTTGTCCGTTCAAAAGTGTCTAGTGTCCAGGTCAGTTGCAGTTGCTCATAAAAATGCAAGATTATAGGAAGTTTTTTCTTCTGAGAAAAAGATGGAACAATTGAAAAGAGCTAAAACAAGGAGATAAAAGAAAGAAAATTAAAAATAGAAAACCAAATCGCAGAAGCTGAGGATGCTTTAGAATTGACTAAAACCAAAGTTTAACTTTATGAGGAGCTGGAAGATTTCCTTGGGGTTCTATTAGCAGAGCAAATAGTGTGCAAGACCTAAACTGTGTGGAGTAATTTAAAGAAACTAAACCCAAACCCACAGTTGAGGAGTCAATTGAAGCATACAGAAAGCTGGAGAATGCGGAACATAAACCCAAGAAAAAGGATGGGAGACAGAATTGCAGGCACCACTATCCGAGAAAACAGAGCCGCATAGGTTTCATTATTTAGCTTAACCCCAGGTGGAGCAGCAATGTCAGAGCCCAGTGTTAAAGAGCGTAGTCTGAATCCGGTAGCAATCCCCTTTATAAATAAAGCTTTACCGCCCAATCAGGTTTTTTTTCATTCTGGTAGTGTATCGTTTCTGACCCCTTCCACTAAGACTATGATGACAAAGCTTACAACCAGTACAAACTCAACAATAACGAAAAATAGTTTCCGTTCATTTGGACGTAGTCAAGGTCTCTGGTAAATCTTGTGAATACTCCAGATTTAAATCAAGTTTTGATGGAATTGTTGGTACCCAGAACATTTCAGAAGCTCAGAAAATGGCGCGTTTGTTGCAATTTCTTGATAAAGGAGCTAGAAGTGCTGTTGCTGGGTTTTGAAGAGGTGCCTGGGTAAGGCCCAAAACGTGTTGTAGCAACGTTTTGGACAAGCGAATATTGTTGCATAGGCATGTGTTGATGCTTTATTTGATGGGCCAAACATATCATAAAACGATGGACAAGAGCTGCAGAAATTTGGTGACCGCTGAAGGACATTTTATGGGACTTTAAGGCCACTGAACTCTCTTTCGGAAATGAACATGTCAAATTTGGCGGAAACGTGGGTGAAGCTACCTGTAGTGCTACAGATTAAGTGGAAAGATGAAGCTCTGAGAATTAGGGAAAGAAAAGGTTTCCCAACTCTTGAGGATCTAGTGGAGTTTTTTGAAAGGAGAGCTGAAGCAGCTAATGATCCAGTCTTTGGAAGGGTTGGAGAGACAAAGCAATTATTTCCAAGAAGGAACCCAAAAGCCAGTTGACATCCATTACCTTCGAGTCTTAATGCGGTGGCTGGGACCAAGATAATGACAATGGCAGTGCAAGTTGGACGTAGTGACTCACCGAAACCAGATATGGACACGCTGGGAAAAAAAGTGATAAAATTCGGCCAAAAGATTGAGTGGGGGCGTTATAGGCACAAACATTTTTGGAGTTCTTGGGGCTATAACTTTCTTTCCTTTAAGGGCATGACACTGAAATTAATACAGGCAACAATACTTCACTCCAGGAAAATTTTGGAATAGGCGTTTTGTCGGTAAAGAGTAAAGTGACCCTCTAGTGGCCAATTAAAAAATCAAAACTCCCAAAGACTTCTCCTCCAAGAGAATTAAACCTGAAAGTGTGATACTTTGCAGAAATATAGTGCGCATAAAATTGAAGAACTTGTCCGATTTGAAATCTCAACTTTCATTTTTGTGACGTCACAACTGATGACGTCACAAAATGGACTTTTTGGTCATGCGTAGTACTAACCCAAAAAATGGAGAATTTGAAAGAAAAACTTAAGACAAATACAAAGTGAAAGTCTCTACTCATTATCTTCTATAGTTTAAGAGATATTTGTAACATTCCACGCATATTTTTAAACAAACTTTGGACACATTTTGTGGCCGATTTTTAGCACTTTTTTCCCAGCGTGGATTCGAATTCTAGCATGCAGAAAGTAATGTTATGGCTGTAAGTCTACACACAAGGTAGAGCATATAAACAAATCTGTACGACAGGGAATAGTCTTCGTAAGGTACAAGGGACTTTGTTGGAACTGGGTACCCAAGGGACACTTTGTTAATAAGTGCCAATCAACTTTTAAATGTAAACAAGGTGAACAAGCACACCATTCCTTACTGCGCAAACCAACAGAGGATAAAGAGGGAACAATGGCGAATCCAAAGGGAAGCTCAGGACCGAAAGACCAAGCTAGTGTGAATGCTGTAACAGATCATCTGTTAACACTCCAGGTCCCACGTATTCCACGACCTCAAGGACTAAGGTTTCATTACAAGTTTTTCCAGTTAAGATAACGAGCGAAGAGGGACACTGTTATGTTACAACGTAAGCACTACTTGACACTGGGAGTGAAGAGACATTTCTGTAAAATGCTATTTTTAATTCCTAGCGTAGCGACTTTATAATCTCTTCGCGCGCGAGGCGCGCGCGTAGTCTGCTAACCGCGCGTGGTCTTAGCCAGCTGCAAAATTCGATGCGCCATAAATCTTTTCATGAATATATATTCTTGGTGTCCGCCAATGACGTCATGGAGCATTTTGCGTTTCCAGGCAACATAGACTTTGCCGCCGATGACCAAGGTTTTGATGTGTTTATTCATCGTCTGTGAAACAAAGTTTACTATCGGTGAATCACGAACAATTTCCCATGCAAATGAAACACAAGCACAGCAGGTGCAAAACCTCGCCCAGGAAGATTTTCCACCGAAACTCCTCTGGAACGAGAACGCCGACTTCAAATTTAACGTGAACAACGAAGGAGAAGACGTGAACAAGAAACTGCGGAGCAGAGAGAACATCGCCCAGCACAGCGAAGGCAACGCCTTCAACAAGAGACATGCAGAGGAACAGGAGATTGGAATCAGAGGCATTATGATCTTTTCACACTGTGGAAAACCCAGATTTCTCAGTTTGCCGGTTTCCCCGCCGATATATAGATCAACGTCTGCAAAGCTTCAGCTCAGTATTACGGCCCGAAGTATCATAATTTTCAGGCGAACTGCACTGCCATATTTGTTCTTTGTTTTTGCCTTTTTCTAAATCCGGACGCCGAAATAATGCTAAAACTGCTTCTCAATACACTGTTAACAATAACACCACACAATAGGCAAAAAAGAAGGAGAAGAAAAGAAAGAACAACGTATGGACCTTTACGACGATATTCGTGGGTGGTCACCCATCCAGTTCTTAATCCCGACTGACAGGGCTTAACTTGAGTGCCGTTACCAAACCGAGTTTCGCGAGGGTTATTGCGAGATACGTATTTCTAGTAACTTGGGTTTCAAGTAAGCAACTGTGACACTTTGGCTGAATACACATTGTCGGGCGAGTCCTGTATTAAGGTTGGTCAAGCCAATCGTCAAGTGAAAGCTGTTGATAGCCGGGACAATCGTACCCTAGTAAATGAAAACGTTAGAAGTTGTAGACAAACTTAACATCACAACAACAAGAGCAAAAGACTTGTCTAAATGGCCTCATTTAAAGGATCTCGAAATCGCTGACGTAGATGACGAACAGGTGACCATGCTGATTGGAGAATACGTTCCCGAAGCTCAAGTGCATGAAAAGCGCAGAAGAGGGGGATCAGTAGAACCGTATGCTGTTCGCACTTTCCTGGGTTGGTCTGTGCTTGGACCAGTTGATGCTGAAACATTTTGCGCTCCCAAGAGAAGAATGTGAGTTTTGTGAAGTATGGTCATGGGCGGTCAGATCAGCAGATGAAACAATTTTTGAGGCTTGAAGACATTGCCATCAACGGGAGCTCCAAGAAAGAAATGTCAATTGAGACCAGGAAGCACTGAAAAGGGTGGAAATCGCAGTTTGTGTAGTAGGTGGACACCATCAAGTTGGAATGCTATGGAAGAGTGATACCCCTTGGCTGCCAAACAACAAGCATACGGCAGAAACAAGACTACTGTCTTTAAAGAGAAAACTCAAGCGTGATGAGAACTTTCACAGTAAGTGTAGAGAGTTTATGGAGAACCTCATTCAGAAAGGATATACCAGAAAGCTGGCTGAAGAAGAGTCGGTGCGCCGAAGCCAAAGGACATGGTATTTTCCACATCATGGTGTGTTTGACCCCCAAAAGCAAGACAAAATTCGTGTAGTATTTGATGCCGCTTCCTTGCACGATGGATTTTCTCCTAACAACCACTTGCTCCAGGGTACTGACTTACCTGACAGTTTGCTTAGTATTTTGCTGCGGTTCAGACAATATCCAGCAGCACTAGTAGCTGACATAGAGGGAATGTTTAATCAAGTCAAAGTTGAGCAAACTTTTGTCTATGCTATGCGGATCTTGCGAAGCCAACCCTTCTTATTCAAGGTTCGTGAACCCCACCAACTACCTACCAAACGAGGAATTCTGTCAGCAGTAAGATCGCTGTATTATCCCATGGGATTTGTTTGCCAGTTTGTCCTAGAAGCTAAGAAGGTATTGCAAAGACTGCGGAAGCTACATCTGGAATGGAACGATCTGATACCTGAAGATTTACAAACCCTCTAAAGTAAGTGGCAGTGGGTGTTGACTGTCTTATCACAATTTCAAGTACCGCGATGCCACCTGATCGACAGTACAGTAGTCGACATATCCCTTCATCTATCTTCTGATGCTTCAGAAGATGGTTACTGCATGTGCTCCTTTCTCAGATTTGTTTATGCCTGTGGAACTAGTTGTTAGGTGTTCTTTTCTAATCGGAAGTTTAAGGAGTTCGCCAGTGAGACCAATTTCGACTCCAAGGCTTGAGTTGCAAGCCGTCACATTGTCTGTGAAGATGTACAGGGTGCTTGTAGATGAACTGACTTAGAAGATTAGCAAATCTACATTTTGGTCTGATTCCCAGACGAGGTTGCAGTATATTAATAATGAATCTAACCGATTTCAGACCTACGTTGCAAACCGTATGGCTGAAATACGTGAAGTGAGAACCGTTAACACTGCGGGTGATGTATCATGTGGCTTAAAAACCTCAGAAACTTTCTTGTCAACATCAACGGTGGAGAGAACTTGACTTCCTTTGAGAGGCAGAGGAGTTGCTGGCCAGATGTAGTAATTTGCGCAAAAGTTACAGAGAGTGACCCGAAGTTGCGGATTTTAGCAAATGTTCACCTGATTAGTGTTGGAACACATCGTTTTGACTGTCATCCTACGAATGCAGTGAGAATAACGATGCATCAGAAGATAGTCATGCAGGTTTAAGGGGGCTCACAGAGAGCTGCAGCTCATGGCCAACCCTGCAACGCCAGGTAGCGTGGATAGTGCGATTTTGTCAGTCGGGTTGCACATTCTAGCGAACTATTGTTTTTAGAGAACCTTAATCAGTCAACTCAATTTTTTTTCGCTGTGTTGAAAATTAATGCTTCCCTGAAGATGTCAAGGAAGTGGAGCAGAATAAGGAGGCAAGAAATGCTGCAAGCTATCAAATCTGAGACCAGTATTTGTAGGTGGAGTCATACGAGCAGGAGGACGATAAAACAAAACTCTGGTACTCTCATGGGAAGAGAAACACTCAATGGTTCTACCAAAGCGCCATCAAGTTAACCAGTTGATTTTTCGTCACTATCATGAGTCTGCTGCTCATAGTGGAAGAGGACAAACGTTGTGATAACTGCGAAGAATGTTCTGGAACATTGGTAGAAGAGGTCTAGTAAAGAGGACAATTAGAAGCTGCATCAGGTACCGAAGAATATATGCTAAACCCTTGGAGCAGTTTATGAGGTCAGTACCAAGAGCGAGACAAGAGGTGTACCACCCTCCATTTGCTTTTACTGGCTTTGACTTGGTTGGACCACTAACGGTTAAGTCGGGCCGCAGAACCGCGAAAAGATGGGGATGTTCGCTCACGTGTCTCACGACTCACCCTATGGATTTGGAAGTGACGCCTTCTCTCGAAACAATGATGTCATTATGATTCTCCGTCAATTTATAAGTAGAACGGGACCGCCTAAAGAGATGTGGTCTGACAGGGGCACTAATTCTGTAGGAGTCAACAGAGAGTTGAAAGAGTCTATTGCGCGTTAGAACAAAGAAAAGGTCGAGATTCCGTTGCAGCAGAGGGTATCAAGGGTATGTCCGCAGTTTTGGAACGTCTTATACAGACTACGAGGAGGCATCTAAAGAGCGCAGTTGCAGATGAGCTTTTTAATGACATTGAACTTAGGACCCTGGTAGCTGTTAGCTGAAATGGAGTCCATAATTAATAACCGCCCCATGACAGCTGTTTCATATGATACTGATGATTGTTCAGCGCTGAAACCCAACTATTTTCTTCTTCAGAGAGCCACTCAACTTCTACCTGGAGAATTTGTAAAAGAGGATTCGTTTTTCAGGAAGCGATGGAGAAAGGTGCAGTTCCTTGCGGATCACTTCTAGAAGAGGTGGACATGAGAGTATGTGCGGATTGAGGACCTGGTACTTATAGCAGAGGATAACATGTTGCGTAATAGATGGCCCATGGAACGGCTGATAGAAATGTTTCGTGGTGAAGACGGAGGAGTACGATCTGCCCGTGTGAAGACTGCAGGCGGCGTGTTTCAACGCCCAGTAACCAAAATATGCCTATTGGTGGAAGTTAAGAATGATGAGCGATCATTGATTGTAGAGTTTCATGAATAGACATTAAATTAAACAAACAAACTGCGTAATTACGTAATTACAGCCCGTTTGTGGGGCCGCTATGTCGTGTCTTTTGCCGCCGTTTATAATTATGATAATATGTTTTCTTTATCTTGGCAGCATATGACTTCATATTGCGTGGTTCAGTCGGTCACAAATTTTGAGCTTCGCGTCGAGGTTTTTCGCGTAGATTCTGTTTTCTAGTTTTTCTTTTGATGTGGTAGCACAAACATTGTTACTTCTCAAGTATCTTCGATGTATTTGCTTGTAAGAGAACGGTAAAAAGAGTGAAAAAATTAAATGACTGAAGAACTGGAAATTTGTGCAGAGCGATAATCTCGTGTGTACCTTCCCATCGATGTGCATCACAACTGTACAGGGACGTTTAGACTACGAGCAGTCTCTCTCTTTTCTGTAGTGCGTCGAGCAAAACGCGAGACACGCAAATGGCCACGCGCGTGACTATGGCGCGAGACGGTAGAGGCACGAAAAAAGAGAGACTACCAGCAAAGCCAGAGAGAATGGTCTTTCACGGTCTAGTGATTTTTGGGCGTCAAAACTGAAATGTTGACAGGCCAGGCACGTGAAACGTGACCTTAGAGTTTGCTTGAACAACAGAGGTTTTCCTACTTTTCTTTTTAAAGCGCAGCTAATGCAGTGCATAGAGTTAGTGTCGATTCTAAACTAACTGACTGAGCAAATCTTAATTTTGGCCGCTGGTCTCTCATTTAGAGGTCATGAAGCTGGTCTATTTCTCTTATATTAATAATTCATTTCCTGTGCTTTATATTTTGAATGAGATCACCCGTGGCCTAGTCCTTGTTTGCGGGATGTTGAATTTTCACGGGACAGTGTTCTACATATCCTAATTGTAGCTTAACTAAAGCTAAGCCAACGCTGCAAGTCACTCAAGATCATTCTTTGGGCGCCGATTTGTTTTTTTCTTTCTTTCTTGAGAATCTATGTTCTATAGCGCGATGTCCTGTAGTGCATCCGTTGGTAATTACCATTGTTTTAGCTTCATAAAATAAACAGTCTAAGAGTCTTCCAGTCTATGCTACTTCCTGTTTTAAGCTCTAACGCAAGACTACCATTTGGAACTAAAGCGTTCCTTGACAGTGAAGAGACGCTTTGAGCATTTAAATTGCGCAATCACGTCACGTACCCGGAGAGATGAGACCTTCTTATGCTTCTCTTTGCTCCCTATCTAATGTTCTTTTTTTTTTTCGGGAAACGTGGCAAACTTTCCTACAGTGCTTCAGCCATCATCAACTTGTCAATGGTTTCGATTATTGACAGTTAGTTGTCAACGCTTCACAAATCAGCCAATCGTATTTTGCGTTGTGAGGCCAACGCTTAATTCATTGGCACTGGCTGAGCGGGCAGTCTCTCTTTTTCCTTCTCGGGCTGCCGCCCTCGTTTCGCGCGTCTCGCAGCTTCGCCGCTCCCGCGCCCGCGCATTGCTCTCATTAAATCTGAAGAAAAAGAGAGACCGCTCGCAGTCTAAGGGACGTTATACTCCAAAGGGGATCTGTCTTTCAGGCTGGAGGTGTGTTAATAAGACTGTAATAAGAAAAACTGCCGTTTAGGTATTTTGCAAGTGTTTTCCAACGTATCTTGAATAGACGCAGCCAAAGGCCGATCGATTTGAGAGTATTCATATTTGAGTATAACAGGGAGATAAGGGTTGAATCTCGGTTTGGCGCACGCCCTATTTTTTGAGCAGCCCCTACTCTACCCGCCATATACTTAGATGGATATGACAGCCTTTAACTGATACCAATGGATAGCTACTAGCTATGGGCCTGAATACTCGTACTAACGTTTCTGCACCAGTTGGGTGAGCCGATTGAAGCTGCATGAAGGGCAGTGACTAGAAAACGATACCCCCAAGTCAGGTTGAACGCATAATGGGTATTCCACGACGTAACAAACCCGATAGAGAACCATTTATTTAGAGAATATTTTGAGAAAAGAGAGAAAATGTGGATTGTAAATCAAGTGATGAGGGTTAAAGCCTGACGCATTCTGTTTTCTTCCTTCGTATATTAATTACTTCAAGATATGGAACTATTTTTTATTTATTTTAGGAGATGATGACAATCTGATAATTCTTTTCTAGTCACAAACCTTTGAAGCCGCTTGTTGTTGTTAAAGCGTGACTTTGCATTACCAATCGCCGTATGTCATTGGCGGGATCTCTTCCGTTCTTATGGCATTTCATGTTTGACCAAGTTTCCTTTTTCCTGCTGTGATAGGACAATGCCCGTAACGACACCGACCTAGATGAGCGTTTCCTCCGTGTTGACATCAATGGTAAGATGAAAAAATTCAAGCTGACTAGAAAGGACTGGGAACTCATGGATATCAACGAGTTCCCGAGAGGAGGCCGTTTGTTGGGTGGTGCCTGGACCACTATATTTAAGCGTGGAGTAAGGAAGAGCAATCGTTGGTGCAGCGTACGCTTCACAAACAACCACGTACGCACAGAGAACTCCCGTAAAATGCATTCAGCACCATTCTTCAGAGGAACTGGGGAATGCAAGCGTGAAGAGTGCAACGTGAAGATGAAATTTGTCATCCCCGAAGAAAGAGGAAAATACGTCTACGTGACGTATATGGGAAATGTTCATCACAAGCTCTCTGAGTCATCTGTGTCGGAGACATGAGATCACACATGGTGAAAATGGCATGGAAAGCTACTAGAGCGAGGTAGTTGTTTAGGCCTTCTAGGACCCAATGGGTTTATAAGGACGTCGATCAATAATAGTACCCTGCAAGTAGCCATCAAGTTATTTTACGAACTGGGTGGATAAGGCAGGGTAGGGATATTACTAATTTTCCCCGTTTTCAAAACAGTTAACTCTCTCTAAGACGGACACCTTAGGATCGGGCACTAAGTGTAAGTCTTATGCAGAGTCAAAAATAGAGAGTAACGAAAGGCAGGGACTAACTTTAGGTTTCCCTTTGACAGAGGTGTCCGTTAAGAGAGAGTCGACTGTACTGATCATTTTTAGGTGTTATAGAAAGAAGGGAAAACTCAAAAGTGATTCAGAAGCTACTCGTCAAAACTTTAAAATTTAAGGCGCTTTTAGTAGACTAGCTGTTCATTTTAACGCCAGCTATTATAGAAAAATCATCAAAATACAGTGTGCTTGGATTAAATGGAAGCAGTTGCCCTAGAGCATAGCTCCTTCAGTTTTGAAGGTTTTATGCGATCATATTATTCTTTTAACAGATGTGCATTTTTGCATGGTGGTGAGTTTATTATTTGTAGCCCGTTTAGTGGTAATAATAAGTTTTGTAATTGTTTATTTTGCGATAATATTTTAAACGAAATACCGGTAGGTCGATTTCTGGCGTGGGTTGTGACTAATTTACGACAGAAAAAGAAAACGGTTAGACTTTCGACAGTAAAAATAGGTGAAAGTATGTTTGAGGTGAATGTCCTCGGATTCCTCCCGAAGCACTCGCTATATCGGAAATGGATTCCGTTTTTTTGCCCAGATGTGCGGGGGTGGTGGGGTGGGAAAAGTAAAGTCAGTCCTTGCCTTTTTTTCCTTTCCTCCCTTTCTCATTTTCCTCTTCTACTTTCTATTGCATCTTCACGCAAAAGCATAAGTGATACCGGTATAAAATGGGTCATAATGTTTTAGGTGATACCAAAATCTGCAATTTAAACCCCTGTAGGGGGAAACCAGTATGTCTTATCCCTTTTATAGTGGAAGCCCGTTAATGAGACCACGACCACCGGCCATGAAATCCTGGTCGTAATAACGAGGTGGTCGCATTAACGGGGTCTTCAAAATAGTAAAATAACCTAGTTATTATTAAGTTTTTGGTCGAAAGAATATGGTTGTAATGACGAGGTGGTCGTAAGGCGGGGCTCCACTGTATATGGGAATCCTCTGGGGCCTAGAGTGCGACGTGCTTGGGTGATATGGAAACATTCTTCTTTGCGAACAAAAAGTTGTTTTGTTTTTAAAAGGTTTCATCAGATTACTGCAGTTTTTTCAATTAGGTGAGCTCGGTATGATCTAGCTTATTGTATAGTCTAAAGTTTTGCATGGTTGGCACGTAGTTAATTACCTGTAGCCATTTGGTCGAAAAGTTGGCAAATATGTCAATTTTGATCGAAAATGTTAATCTACCTAATGAACATGATCTTTTTAAATTAACATTTTACACTGAGCCACAATTAGTGCTTATTTTCTCATTTTATCCAGGAAAGAATTCGTAACACTTTTTAAAGCTATCAATAAGATGCATTTTAGGTAAAAATAAGGAAAGTATATAAGACAGTGAACTGTGTAGTCATCAAGAAAGTGCTACTAACGAGGAACTGGTGTAATAAGTTAAAGCTAAATAAATTAGTGGTGACCTAGGATGTGGTGGTGCCTTGTTATACATTTGCGTGGATAGGGTGTAGATAGAGCACAATGAACTTGGAATGTCCGATCCAGTCCGTTGACTGGCAAGCTGGCCCACCACCCTGTAGCCCTCCCTTCCCGTGTGAGGTACAGTCATGGACAGAAGTCTTAGGAAAAATTTGCATTTTGGAGGCTTTTTTAAGTTACACATGTCCAACCCCGCCCCTATCCCACGGAAAACGTTTGACGCGTGTATCCAGAATTTTTCCCAAGTTTCATCGTTGTATAATGTTTGGGGGGAAGGGGAGGACAGTTGGGAGGGTTTAAAATGCAAGGTTTTTTGCAAAAAAAAAAAAATCACTCTTACATGAGCTCATAGAGGATTACGAATATGACATCACTGTCCCAAGAACTTTTTTTGACGCTTTATTGGGGCAAAACTGCAATCATAAATTAACAAGCAGACATATGATTAAGAAATAATAACTAGTACTAGAGTGGTGAACATAACTTTGTAAACAAACTGCTTAAAAGATTGCGGACTAAAGAAACTACCAGGGGACTTAAGCGAACAGATAAAATTTGACAAGTTAGTAATACGATTAAAATAGGAAGCCTTGTTAGCTCTGGTTCTGCAAAGAGAAGTTTTAAGATTGAAAGAAATAATTTGTCTTGCACGACCGTGAGAAATAAAAGACGTATGTTCTATATCATTGATGTCATCAAAGCCAAAAAGGCATTTGGAGAAAAGAATGGATCCTTAAGTTCTTTGTCGAAAGCAAGAGGCAGCAGGTTCAGCGTGACAAGTCTTTCCTAATACGACATTTCGTCCACCCTGGTCTGAAGAATCCATTACGCGGCTCGCCTTTGAACATGCTCGTTCTTCGCCTTCAACGAATACTGGTTTGGGGACCACTCTTGAGTCGCGTAGCTCAACTGGGACTTCGCCAGAGACAGGTAGAGTGTCCGCCTCACATTGACGTACGTTATGAGAGGGCAGGTCCTCCTCAGAAGTCCGAGGAGCTTGTTTGTCTTGGCGACGATGTTATGGATGTCTCTCTCTGCTCGGCTGAGGCGCTCATGAGGGTTCCCGTGGTTCCCACAGTCGATCTCGATGCGCTTCTCAGCTTTGCCGTCCGGTGCCAAAGTACGAATTTCGTGAAGAAGGGAGGGGTTTTCTGGATTGATTATCTTTGCAGCATATTCGTGGAATACAATTTTACATCCACCAGGACTTGGTTTACCATGTGTCGGGTGGTACAGACTGTATTTAGAGAAATAAGGTCCCCCTATGGGCGCCGAAGAAAATTGGCCCAGGAATCTTATCTGTCTGGCTTAAACTGATTGGGAAAAGGGGACTGTTCCCGTTCTATCATAGACTTCCTCGTTGCTAACATGGTACGTACGAGAAACGCCAAGTATGATTCTAATACAAGAAGTGTGGAAGGAATCAAGTTGACTACAGAGGTCAGATGTTAGGACCCAATACTCACAGCAATATAGAAGCACAGTTAAAGCTGACGCTTTGAAAAGTGGGAACTTTTGTTGGAGTGATGCAGGAGACTTCCAAACACGATCCAATTTCCAAACCGCACTTCATGTTTTCCATTTCAGGTAAGTGAAGTCTTCCCGGTGGACACAATGTACGAGCCGAGAAATTGAAAATCTTCGACGTTCTCGATATCTTCTCCATCTAGCTGAAGACTTGAATGTGGAATACTACAAGTAATAAGTTTGGTCTTTGTAGTGTCAATGCATAGTTGTCTCCTTGCAGGACACCTGTTTTGACTTCAAATTCACCGGACACTTCACCGTCGACAAGAACGGATGACTTGGTACCAGGGTATAGAACCCTCTCTTGGTGTCCCAAGAGAGGGAGTTTGTGATGGTGACTCGGCGATCGTTTCCCTCTATAACTCAAGCTCAAGCTGTACGCCATCAAGGTTGTAACTGTAACACAAGGGCTTCTTCTTTCTCACAACGCTTAGTGTTTTGCATTGGAACGCATTGAAGCAAACGTTGTTTTCTTTACTCCAATGTTCCATCTTTGAAAGAGTGGTCTGTAATGTCTTGCAATCTTCTTCCGAACCTATGCAGTTAAATATTTTTGTGTCATCTACGTAGAGAGCAGTCGTAACGATTCCTTCGGACGCATTCGGGGGATCATTAAAGAAAATTGTAAAGAGTAGTGGTCCAAGAAGACTTCCCTGCTGAACACCAGACGTAACAGGGGCCCATTGCGAGGCTGCGCTATCAAACACAACACGTTGGACCCGTGTCGTGGTTGATGGTAGTTCTTGATAGTTCACAACACTCAGGTAGTTCTTGAACCAGGATAAAAATTGTCCGGACACCGTATGCTCTCAGCTTGGCGAGAAGGATGTTGTGCTCAACGGAGTCCAAAGCCTTTGCGAAGTGCAGGATTGTATGTTAGCAAACAGGGAGAGTGCCGGCGATAGCTAGTGCTGCTTAAAAATGCAACGGAAGCGTAGGTATCAATGAAATCTTCTCAAAGTAAGGTTTTGGGAAACGTTATCACGCAAGTACATGGAAATTTAAAAGTGTCTTTGATGAAGACTGTTATATGTCCTTACGTACCAACTCGCTTGCATTGATCTATAGATTGTTTCCACTCACTTGGTCAGCAGCTATGCAAATTTCTTGGTACAAAGAACGCTTGTACATGAGAAAAGAATTCAATCCCACAGGACTTTTTTGGAAAACCAACATGGCCGCCCTTTCATTGTTTTTCACACCAATATGACCGTCGAGACGTTATGTAGAAACGATCTATTCTTAATGCTGTTTGAAGAACGTTCGTTGTTGGTTTAGCCTTGCCTTCACTGGGTATTTTTAAAGATAATTTTAAAGTCTGAAAACTTAAATGAAATACACAAATTAAGCCAAGCCAAAAGGCGGAGCTTCCGGAGACTGATCGTTTATTTGAAACAATAGACCTTAGGTGGTTTTTTAATGACCTGTGCAAAAAAACAAAATGTTTACTTCACAATATTCTTTTTTATCTTCTTTTATGTTACGCTTAGTACAACTAGCTTGGTTTTTGATTGGCGGACAGAACCTCGAAAAAGCGTTTAATGGCTGATTTAATTAATTGCTTTTCCAATTATTTTTTCTCCTATGAAATTCTAAGACAAAAACCACTAGTAAAAAAAAACTAAAACATCACGCAATTGCGGGCAAACAAAGGAGTCTGCAATTGTAATCTCCAGGTTCATTTGATACAATTCACGGAACTAAATTAGCCAGCATTCTTGTGGACTTTAAGAATTAAAGGAAAGCAAAGAACGCCATCCGTTCACGTGCGTTTGGAACATTTATTACTCTCAATCTAACCTCCTATCAGGTGAAACTTACACAGACCGCCGCGTTAGAGCAGGAGATTTTTGACCTTCGATCGATCTTTCCACCAGTAGCTAATATTTCGCTGATACTAAGTAGCCAATTCATAAATTCAAAGTTCTTCTTCACACAAATAAGATTCCACTTCTAAAGGGGAAAACCCAGACCCTGCTATACTACTCACCTCCTTCTAAACCATTCACTCAGACGCAAATCAAAACCAAACATTATCCGGCATTTTTCACAAAGCCTACATCATTTCAAGGAATGATTCAAGCAACGCCAGATGAAGAACTAAACAAAGATAACTACTTTTAGTCGGGTGGCTTAGTGCAAAGCTTTGGCGAGATCTAAGGAGGGCGGACAAAAGCACTAAACTTTGCATGGTTGTAGCTTAGGGCATTTTAGTCAATATTAGGATCAGTGCCCACAGCTACCTCTTAAGGATTTGCAGCAATTGCTCGGTGAAGTTCTTTAACAATCTTCTATGGTGGGTGTCCTGTGCTGAAAATTGCAATCTCTTTTTTTTGCCATTTTTGGTAAAAATCACATAATGATCAGGGAGAAAGTGTATTCCCGTGGAAGTGCTTAAAGCAAGCCATTGGTCTAAATATGTTGAGGGGACCTCAGTGAACATGAAAAATGTTGTCGGCAACTTTTTGACCCGCACCGGCACGATTAACTGAGGATTAAAACACGTCACATACAATATTAGTATGGAAACGAGGCTACGTCTTCAATCGTCTTTAATCCCTCTTATATGTCAATATTTCATCACCAAATTGTAAGCATAGGTTTACTCTAGCATTACACACATTTTTAGCTGGAAATTGTGATTACATGACCTAAAGTATGAAAACGAGGCTAAATCCTAAATGTGCCCTTTTTTCGTATCTTGTGTTAAAATATCACTACAAAAGTAAGCTATAATGAAGGACAAACATTTCATAGACTCTCTCAAATATTATTATTAAAAGGCATGTAGATGCAAAAAAAATATTATTGAATACAATGACTAAACAACACATTACGTAACAGGAAGCCAGTGAAGGTCAAATAAAATGGGCGTAATGTGTTCAAGTTAACGAGGCTGAGAAACGATTCTGGGGGCAGTGTTCTGGACGTACTACCGGTAATAAAAGTTCTTCAACTGCATTTTCCTACAACCGCAGAGCAAGGAATTGCATTAGTCTGTGTTGGATGTAATAAAAGCATGCACAGCAATTTCGCTAGACATCTGTGTGAGATACTTTCTTATCTTTGATAAATTCCTGAGCTGGTAAAACGATGATCTGCACATGTTGAGACGTGCGCATTAAATAGGATGTTGTCATCAAATACTACTCTCAGACTCCTTGCTTTGCTGGCGGTGGTTGTCAGCCCTGCATTACCCATATTGAAGTCGATGAAGAGTGGACAATTACCGTACGTCAAGAAAATATGTACGATTTCAATCTCATAGTGATTAAGTTTCAGCTCGTTTCTAAACACCAAAGTGGATATAAGCTGAGATCGTGGTCATATTTGCCAAGGGTGAGAATTGACAAGAGAGGATCTGAGAAACCCATTGGTTTAACGGTACAATCATTTATAGAAAGCTCCTTGAAAATGTAATAGAATTCAAGAAAGAGGACTGTTTTCCTGTTACAATTAAGTTTGATATTGAAATCGCTAGAGTAGTAAACAAATGCAAAGTGGCATCAATCCTGCCACCTTATCTTTTTGTCCCCGTTGTGGCTGTTGTGGCTGTTGTCACTGTTTTTCCTGTTCTCAATATGGTCCCTGTTGTCACCGTTCTCCCTGAAGTAATTGTTATCAATGTTGTCACTCATGTCTCTGTTGTCCCGGTTTTCACTTTGTCATTGTCGCCACTGTTGTCATTGTTGTCCCTGTTGACCCGCGTTGGCTCTTTCGGATCAGCCGTTTGTGTTGGACTTGGTTTTTCGCCGGTCGCAGCAAAAATGGTCGTTCAAATCATCGTTGGAAAATACATCGACCTCAACGACTGAGCCGAGGGTTGACGTTCACTCGCCCTTGGCTCATTCTTTGGTTCGTTCGGAACCTCCAGGCGCCTTCTTTTCCCTCGTTGAGTGCTACAAGTCTTAGAACAGGCTCCTTATTCTGTGTGTTGTTTCGCCCACCGTTGCAACCTTTGTTCGGGAGTACATCGTGTATTGGTCCACCCTCAGCGTTCCAATAAATCTAGCAAGGACGATGGAAAGTTGCGTGCGACTTCACCCGAATCCTCCAGCTCAACATCTTCGAACAAATCGCACCGTGCTTAACAGTACAAACCTTACGGTTCATACTGTTATTTTAAAAAAATGTTATGGTTGAGTTTTTATAGCGGAGCTGCACGCGCCGCTTCACGCACGCGCGTAGGCGGAGCCCCATAGCTAAGTAAATCTACCCATCCCAGAAACATTTGGTAATCACGTGTCCGTACACCGACCGACCGCCCGACCGTCCGTCCGCACCTCAGGGAAACCAATGTTTACTCTCACACTTTCGAGCTAGTCTGGGAGCCCAGGAAAACTGATTGCACATCAATGTTGTGATCAATTGACAGCTGTCATAACAGGACATCCGCTGACCAGTATCATCTGACCGTGTCGCGGGCTAAGGTGTCCACCCATCGGGGTCTAGTATTTTTTGAAGTTATCCGCTGACAAGTTACTAGTTTTTAAATGATCGCAGGCTCAAGTTTATTTTTAAAAGATTCCTATGAAATCTTATATGAAATATGTTGCGTTTATGTCACTATGGTTCCGCCCTATTAAGATTTTGATTTCAAACTGACCTCGGACGCGAAAATTCAGCCACTTGTTTAAAAGCACAGGAGGCCGGCCTAAAACATAAACTTAAGCCTTTAGCTCAAAGACTCAGGATTTTTAGAGACACTTAAATACTTGTCTTCGACAATGAAAATTGTTGTCACTGTAAATGTTTCACCGAACTATATTTGTTTTATTAATTGTTAGTAAACTCTCTTGCAATTTTAATCGCTGTGCCGTTTGTTTCCAGTCGTTCATGAACATCGCTTGCAGGAGTACTCAAAATGCTGCGCGTATCAAACGCTTTTTAAGATTACACATCGTTATAAAACCATTAAATAAAAAAATAAACATAATAAATGCCAATTTGGTGCTTGTCAAAAGTGAGAACTGCTAGCCGTACAGGTGATTTTGGAAATTTTTTGAACGGTTTCGCTAAAAGCCTGAATATTGACTGAGTGCAATTTGTCTTAAAAAATTGTGAAATACTGCATTCTGTCCGAGGTCTGTATGATAAGTAGTACTGTATCACCTCAGATGTGATGTATGAAAAGTATAAAAGGTTGGTTTACACACCCCCAGATTTGTTGGTAAGGTTTTTTTAAAGTAAACTTCTCGAAAGCAAAAAATTCGGCCAAATTTGTTTTCCAAGAATTTGTTTTCCAGGCCTAATCTACTGTGATCACGAGCCATTAAGGCTCTTGAATGTGATCATAGTTAATTGAGTGGAATGGTTATGAAACCCATCAGACTCCTTTGTTATATGTTTTTGTGGACCTGAAAGTGCACAACGTTCAAAAGAATTCCTATCATTTTGATTGTATTGACCAATAAAAACGTTGCATTAATTTATTCCGTAACAATTTGCCAACAGAAAACAAAGGATTGTGCACTTTCACGGTACTTCCAACATAAACTGCAGCACTGTTGTTTTTATCATTGATGTTTGCCGCTTTTCATAACCAGTCTCCTCTAATAACTATGATGTGATCGAAGATTATCGCTAGTTTTTGGGTGTACATATACGGCTATCAACTCGATGTAAGATGTTTCACTCTAAAATCAGTTAGCCTTTCCGTCAGAAGTCACATGAACGTGCCCTTAAGTTGACCGATTTGTGGATTACAAGTTTATTGTTTGATTTAAATTATAAATCTATTAATTAGATCCTCGCTTTTAGCCCTGGCTAAATCTATATATTATTTTGTTTATGAGTTGGTCTTTATTTGCTTCCCTCATTTTAGTCCCTTTTGTTTTTCATCCAGTTTCCGAGGTCTACTCTTTCAATGTAGCCGAACTCTCTCGCGCGTTAGTGGAATCCTGATCATTAGGTGGCAACTCGTCTACCGTAGGGCTTTGGGCTGGGATTTCAGCGTACCCACAAAAACGAAACAGGATAAACTTTCAGCTGTCCAGCATCTTATATTTATAGACGAATTTTTCACTCACGAGAAAAGTCAGCGTCGGCTGCCAGGCCCATTCCCCTCGCCTCGCTAATTTGCATATAAGAAGCTTAGGGGTCATACCAAAAAAGGGACAGCCGGGCAAAATGGCAAGGGCGCAGGTGTAAATAACGGCATTAATCCAGAAGAGTTTTCCATGCATTGCATCAAGGTTGATGGCTCTCGTGGTCTGTTGGCTAAGCATAAAGTTAAGCCGCTTATCAAAATATCGCAGTGCATTCTGATGACAGGTTCCTCCTTGGTATGAAATGGCGTGGCCAATATTTCGTGGGCTTCGCCTAACCTTTCAGTCTTCGCTCTGGTCACGTTATTTCTATTTCAGTCGCAGATATGGCGGAGTCGAATCTTTTGAATAAGCACAATCTCTCAGATCTCATGCAGTAATTAGATGTCGTCATCACGGTGGGACCTCCTCAGTCAGTCCAATGTGCTAGGAATTTGTCTCCAGCGGTAGCAGTTTGTCGTTCGTTGGTCATCCTGTTCATCTGAGCAAATGCCTTGGATCCTCCACGTGTTTGGTACTTCTTGGAATTGAGTTTGATTCGGCAGTTCAGATAGCTCGCTTTCCTGCAGACAAACTGGCAGCTCTGCAAAGGTTATGTGGCCCGTTCGTACCTTCCTCAGGTGCATGATTAACCTGATTGCTGCTTTTGGTGGAGAGATCTCCCGATACGCTTGAACGGGCAATTTCAGCTAAGTCTACAGTGGTGGTACGAATTCCTTTCCTCCTAGCATGCATTACGTTTTCTGGCTTTATCCGGACATACCGGCGCCTACCTCTATTTTTCTCCATGTAGATTGGCTGCGTCAGATCCTTGCTTTCCACAGGGCATTCCAGGTAATTTCTCAAGCAATGTTTTCGCATCGGTGCGACTACAGTTCGGTGTCCCCGACCACCTTGATTTCAACCCCTGGGTCGTTGGTGAATTAATACATACCAACCTTACATACTGAATCCGACCGAGTCTTTAGCTCGATTTGCTTTAACTAAAATTGGTTTAACCATTGCCGGGCGTCTCGCTCTCCGCGTTTCTCGGTTAGCTACTCTTCACGATAGTTGCGGTGTTCGCTATCTCTGTCGGGGAGTTTGAAGGAAGGAGTCGTTCTAACATTCGCCAGTTTCCAAGTTGGGGCCAGTGGATCTTGACTATTATCATCGAAACACCAGCTACATGCTGCGTCATGACGTGGTGGGGATTGGGGGGTGGGGGGTTGGTTCTTGGAAAGTTTGAGGGTTTCTGTCCCATGTCCACCCTGTTCGCAGGCCCTTCGCTTCCCATGCACAACCGAACTCAGTTTTGTTGGATGCCACTCTCGGGGTTGCAAGGTTACGCACTGCATTTGGTTGTAGTTCGGGGTACACCAGCCTCACAGGCACCTCTCCCCACGCTCTTCTCTGTTGACGAGTTTAAACTAGGGAAATGGCCGGTTCGGGGTTTCCCATTTGCGTCGCATGGGCGCATGGGATTTTTTTTGCAGCCTTTCGCTTGATGTCAGGCCACTGCAATCGCGTGCCGTTGCCTGTCGTGGCGCGTGCTTTCAGTCTCTTTTTTCTGCTCCCCACCCTTCCCCCCCATAGTAAGTATATGGTAAATATGTAATCTTCCACTGGTTAGCAGTGACGGCGGCGGGGCGGATGCCGCTCTCAGGGTTGTCCAGGTTACGTATTGCACACGGCTGTAGTTCGGGTCTCCATCAGCTTCAGAGGCACCTGCCTTCACGCTCATCTCTGTAAAATGTAATCGTGCCCATTTATTCCAAATTGCACACAGAAGGGTTTGATTAGCTTTTCTCAATTCAATAGTTCAATTTATTTGCACGTGTAGAACATTTATCTATTCTGTGCTGGGTCAAATAGACCGATGAAGTTTCGAACATTTTTATCGTCAGAGCCTGCTGTTCATTTCAAACATTTCCCATTAATAAGATAATCTTGAAAGTCAGCTAAGCTAGTGCACAAAGGATGTCTGTCCAACTCCCCATTACACCAGAGTAAAGAGGAGAGCCACAAGGCTCTTAACAATTTCTATACATTCAAGAGGCCACTGATATTCAGTTCAGGGATAGACGCAAATTACTCATTCGTAAACAAGCGCTGAGATTTTGAAGACACTGTTCACTGGTCACTTTAGAAATGAGGAAACTCGACCGACTTGACTTTCCCAGACTTCTGGGATCGTTACAGGGGCGCGCTAATCAGCTACTGGTCAATTTTTCCCCTCCCTGGCAACAGTCCCAGGAGTCTGCGCGAAAGTTCACTGGCACCTGTTTTCTTCTCAAATGCCGGTGAACAAAGGCACAACTCAAGGCTTGCGGTGACAAAATACAGCGAATTCTATGAAACTGTCCATTCAACGCTCGACCTTGTTTTTAATGTGTGTGTTCACTGGAGTAGGTTACGGAACTGAATGTCTATTGAAAGTGCTTCAAAGAAATTCACAAAATAAATAATCTAACCAGGCTAACCTTCCTCCCTTACCAGTACACAATCACAACGGCCAGCCCAAATACCGGAAAATTTCAATACAAACTATAATCAACTCTCTTTCACAACTGATACGTCTATCATGAGTGACCCTAGTCCTTTTCATGCCTCCTAACGTAAATTCAACGTTAACCTGAGCTCCGTTCTTTTTGAGACTATATAAAAAATTTGTTTGTTTGTTTTTTTGAGTTATAGTAACTTAATAAGCATATACTTCATTTACCATGACTTAAGGCTCGGTTACCGATGATTGCATCAAAGGGCAATTAAACATGGCGTTGGCATGAAGGCAACCTGCACAGCGAACCTAGCCTGCGTCCCGGGCGAGATCATAATTTATGGCGTAGCAAATTCTTGGCAGAGGAGCTCCGAAGCAGTATCGAGGATGGAGAAGAGAAACTTGGTCGCGCCTTCGCATTAGAAATGCGGCTTCGCCACCAAAACTGTGACACGCACAAAATGAATTCCGCCAGCTACGCAGGCTAGAGCAAAACACGAAAATTTCTCTATGACCCGACCTCTAAGCAGACCTCTTAGTAGAGGGAGTCCACTTGTTTAAGTATAAGCACCTTTTAAAGTACAAGTGTAACAAAAATGAGTGATATTTACAATTCTTAGCTTAGCAAAACAAAAAACAAACTGGAAAAATAGCAAAGCATTTCTAATAACTCATGACGGGCTTCTCCTTGGCTGTAGCCAACTGAGCCATAGCTTCTTGCCCAGTCAACTTTTTTTGGACCCTGAAGCTCCAGCTCACTGAGCTCGGGAGAGTACTCTATGCGGTAATTTCTGACTTGGCAGAGGCAGCCAACCTAAAGAAAACAAAATTACTAACAATTATGCTTGGTTCACACGAGCGACACAAATACAAAAGGAAACGCGTGGATTACCGACGCAAGAAATGGAAATTTTTTCGTTTTCTTTCCCTTACATAATTCACAAGTGTGAACCAGGAAAACGCAAACGCAAGACAAAAAAACAAAGCAAAGCAAAACAAAAAAAACAGGTTTCATCTGTTCCATGCCACCACGGCTCAGTGAAAACCCTTGGGCAGCGAAGTAAACACTAGCTATTAAACTTGTGGCCCTCGAATAAATTAATTTACTAAAATTACCCATATCTAAAAGTTAAATGTATATAAATGAAAAAATCTATAAAAATACAAATAAAAACAATTAATCGAACTAAATGTGAAAATGGTTTAAGCTAAGCTGTTTTTTTTTTAAATATATTCCTTGAACTCTTCTTACAAGCAGGAAGCGAATACCGACGTGTAATTTCTAAAGCCAAATCATTCCGCTTACAAGATCGAACTAAAGAGGACTTTCCACCCGCTGTCTCACGTACATACTTAGGACAAACTAAGTTATATTTAACATATCTAGTATTTCAAGTATAAACTTGATTATTAACAATAACATGTCCCTATAAAAAATTGGGTAAAGTACCTGGAATAAGTTTGAAAACTTTTCTTCATAAAAAGGAATCCAATTTAAATTATTGACAAACCGTACAGATGGCGAATCATTTTTGGAAGAGAGAATAACCCTAGCCGCCCTCTTTCGCAGCTTTAAAACTCTATTTTAAGATTCCTTGTCACAACATGGCCATCTGCATTTGCATTTGCCTCACGCGTGAAACCATGCCTTACTAGCAAAGTTAAAGATTAAACAAATGAAAATGAATCGTCATAAACTTTCTTGTATTACGAGCAACATGATGAAAATTCAGAACGGAATCTCACCGATAATAATAATAATAATAATAATAATAATAATAAACAAAGCAAAATAAAAATAATAATCTAGACTGTTTATTTGTGGGGGAGGTGAAATACTTTCTCGAGAAGGCACCACACAAGGAGATCCGCCAGCGATGCCATGGTACGCACTTAATACATCCATAATGATACAGAATTTGAGGGATCATTGCCCATTGGTTAAACAGGTGTGGCTTGCAGACGACTCAGCTGGAGGAGGGAGTATAGTGCAGTTATACAACTGGTACAGGCAATTGAGTAAGGAAGGTCAAAAGTTTGGTTACCTTGTGAATGGGACAAAGAGCTGGCTTATTGTGAAGTCTAGGGAACTCGCGGAGGAAGCAAAGAGGGT